TTTTTTTAAAGTATCATAGATGAAATATAATAAATTTTATTAATTATTAATTAAAATTTTAAAAAATATTGTAAGATATATAATTATTAAACATATAATATTTATTATTTTTTAACAATATAGTTTTTTAATTTTGTTTTTATTATTAAAATATTATAAATTATGATGTAATTAAATTATATGAAATTGAATTTTAATGAGTTATTTTGTAATTATATTAAGTATTAAGTGTTTTTGGTAAAAATTACAGTCAGAAAGTTTTAAAATGAGGTTTTTAGTTATATATGTATATAATTATTATAGATCTGTTGTGATTTTTTGTAACTTTTAGAATAAATAGTTTGAAAAAAAATTATCAAATATATATATCTAAAAGTATTATGTAGTTATACGAAAAAACTTGCAACTGCAATCCTAAACGTACGCACCCTATGTTATTGATCATAAAGGTAGTATATATATTATATAAAGTTAAATTGTCTACACTTTTAATAAGGTTAAATGTCAATTTTGGTCCATTAACTTTAAGGTTTTGTATAATTGTCATTTCTTAATTTTTTTGTGCACTTTTTTGGTTCTTTAACTATGAAAAATGTACTTTTTTATCCCTTAATTATGAAAAATATATATTTTTTAATTCTTTTGTTAATTAGTCCATTAAGTTTATCTAAATATATACATTTTTAATCCTTTAACTTAAAGTTGATAGACAAAAAATGTGCATATATTAGAAGTTAAAAGACTAAAAATATGCATATTCAGTCAAACTTAACAAATTAACTGACAGAATGACTAAAAAAGTGCCAAAAAAAAATTGAGGGATGAAAATTGTACAAAACCTTAAAGCCAAAGGATCAAAATTAGCATTTAACCTTTTTAATAAGGGTAATATATAATAGCATCTTTAATGAAAATTGAGATGGGTATCTATTTATATTATAAATTGCAAGTTTATTTGATGATGCCATGTGTCATATTGTTTAAGTGAGTGGCTGTGATGAAACCATGTCAGACTGGATGTTGTAATTTGGAGTATGGCAAACCTTGTTGATGATTGCCACATGTCCAACTAGATCTAGTGTTTTTTATAGTTATCTTCCATTTATTTGGAAGTATTTAATGTTAGTGGAGATCATGACTAGATTTTAGGCGAAATTGCAAGCCAAGTTCAATTAGTGGGTGAGGTGGCAGACACATGGCGAGTTCTAGGGACGGTTTTGACTAACTTTGTTGCTGAGTTGTCTAATTACCCCATGAAGATCTATTATGTTCTTCACAAATGGAATGAGTGGTTACCATCTTTGGCAAGACATAAAAGGAAAATTCAAAAGAAGCAACATATACGATCACCTTACACACAACTCATCAAATTCAACTTTCTAGTTTCATAGCTATTGTTTACACAACTCATAGATCTTAGTTTTAACACAACCTCCAATTAGATTTAAGTTAGTTCTAGGTCTTACAACCATTGGTTTGCTTATGTAGTGATTTTGAGATACGTGTCATTTCTTCACATGTCAACTTATATGGCTTTCATGCTTCTCTTTCATATTTATGTTAATTTCAATCTCATTCACTTAAACATTATGATTATTTGGCTTTATTTTAGTTTCAGCCCATTTAATTTTTTAGTTTTACAACAATTTAGTTTAATCTGTCATTAGTGTGATAATTAAATATGTTAATGAATTTAGATGAAAGCTCATTCATTTCACTCATTTCATTTATTGTGGATCTTTAATCTTTTAATTTATGGTGTTGTTTTAAAGTTCTTGGAGCTATCCAAAATAAATCAATAACCCATTTTGCAGGAAAGCATTCTTTTCACTTGCATATCGTTTGAAAGTGTAGAACTCAACTTCAAATCAACATTCTTCCAACCATCATAACAAAGGTTGATCATATGGAAGAAAAGGGTTGTTGGGAAAAACCTACTTTCTTACCTTACAATAAAGCAAGTGGCATATCCCACATCCAAATTTGTCGCATGTGGCACTATTTTAGGATTTTTGAGGAAACAATCATTTTGTTTAAAAAGAAATTGTTTCCCCAAAAATCCTCTCCTTTTGGTCATCCTGTGGCAAAACAATGCAAGTGTGCCACTTTGCTCAAAGCAAGAAAGATGGATCTTCTTGACAACCCTCTTCTTCCACAGTGGACCTCCATGTGGAATGGTTAGAAGAATGTCAACTAAACCAAAGTTGCAAGAAGCAAGGATGCTTTCATACAAAATGAGTTTCAAACTTGCCTTGGACAGATCCAAGAACGTCCCATATCTAGGGTTACAATAAAGTTTGTTAATTAAGTAGAGCAAAAAAAGAAAGAGTGAATAGAAAATAAAATTGCATTGTAGAATTGGAAGGTAGATTAAGGCTGGAGTAAGCTATAGATTTCGACATAGCAGGCATATCTAAGTAACTATTGACAAATTTTAACTAAACAATTTGCAAAAATGTAAATTGAACATTTTGAGAATAAAATCAACCTTGGCAACATAAAGTAATGAGATTGCATTAACTAAAAGAAAATCTATTTACAAAACTGAAACTTGATTACATCGACAGAATTGAAATGTGTTGACAAAAGTTGCAGATAGCTGATCT